CCCCCAAAACCCCAAAACCCCATAATCTAATAATTTTTACTTTAATTTTTAATGAAATTAAGTTTTAAACTTGAATTAATTTGATTTCGTCTTATTCTTAATGAAGTCTGAATCAATTTTGTCCTTTAAGAGATATTACAGTTTTCTCTAATCTTTCCTTTTCAGCTCTTAAGTTTGAATATCTCTATTGGAGCTCATTTTCTTTGAGTTATTGTTGGTTAAGGAATCTTTAAGCATCACTTAATCTGTGATTCAAACTTTTAAGATCCTATTATTAGAAAACCTTGAATATTTCAAGCTCGATTTACTTCTTTTAATAATCTTTCATTGTTTGTTGGAATTTTTCTTAAATCAAGTCCTCCTTTTTATAATATCCTCCAAACAGCAACTTTAATCCTTTTTCCAGCTTTTCACATCTCTATAACTCTTTATTCATATGTTTTTGAGAATTTTCGAGTTCATATTGCATTGACTCAATCAATTCTGCCTTAGTTCTATTACTAATTAAGTCATATTCTTTTGTCCCAGGGAAGAAGGAGGCTTTTTTGTTGTCTAAATTATCTGTAATTTAGTTGAAATGAAACTATGGGAATCCATCTATAAGTGATTGAGATAAAGACTCTTCTTTAATTAAAGCTCTAGCTTGCTCCATATACTCAGGAGAGATATCTTAGAAGTATTTAACATTTTTAATCTCTTTCATTCCTTTAGCTGGGTATTTATGGTTGTCATTGATCAAAACAGATTGTAACTCCTCGAGTATCATCTTCTCTGCAATATTCATTTGCTTTGAATCATCAAGAACAGTTTTGACAAATTTCTAATTGATTATGCTTGGTCTAGGAAGACATTGCTTTATAACTGATGATTATTTCCTTTTTTCTAATTCTTTTAGAACTTCTTATTCTCTTCTTAATCTCGCTTCTTATTCTTCAAGATCTTCAACTTTGAGTTTATTATTTTCCTGTTCCCATATCATCTGCTCAGATTTACTAATTTATTCTTCCATTTCAACTATTCTGTCTTGAGAAATTTCATATTTATTCTTGGGTTGGGGCAAATTGTTCAAGGTAAATGCTAATGACTCTCCTCCAAATCTAGATTACTAATCTAAATTAGTCATTCCACTGACTAAGGAAGATTTTTCCCACACATTATCCATATAATGATCTTCAGCATTTAATTTGAATTCATCTCTTAATGGTGTCTACAATCTTTATGGAAGACCTGTTTGCTTTAATCTTTTAGAAGGAGGGAGCATCAAACCATCTGGATTATTGTGTAAATCTCCATTTGTTCCTCGTTTTGCTAATATATTTGGGGTATGCTAAGATTGTCCAAGCTTATAAGATTATGTATCATTTAACTAAGGGGTTTCACCTCCTAATAGTGGAGTCTAAGAATTTTTATAGTAAAGAGCATTTTAAGCTTCCTACATTATCCTTTGACTCATAAGTGGAGTTTTGCCGATCATTGGAGTTTAAAGCATATCTCGTTATGAGTAATTTCCCATAAGTGCTCTAGTTGCAGCATTATTGTCGACTCCAGCAATAGCCATTCCATCATGATTGCCGTCAGCATATTTCTTAATCATTTCAAGTTCGTCATCATTAATTTAAGGACTAGGAAGAGTCAGTTTAGTTCTTATACCTATTAATGAGTCGCTGTTTTTATTGATAATCTCTAAGGCCTTAGGCAAATTTTTTTATTTGAGCTTTTTGAGTTTTTTGGCATCTAAAGCTCTTCTCTTTTTCTCTTCTTCATCCCTTCTTTTTATCTCTATCTATTGTAATGCAATATTAGCTTTATGCTAGTCTATTTTAATAGTTTCACCCTCAATATCAAACCTTCCCACAGGTACTTTTTTTTCAAATGGAATTTCGATATTGTAATTAACTCCTCTAATCTTAGTTGGTTTATAAACATCGATACCTGCTGCTTTAAGTTCTCTTTATTTTTGCGTTTGAGCCATTCTCCTAGCTTCCTCAAGTTACTTTTCCCTTGCCTTTCTCTTTGCTTTTTTACCCTTAGTATTTGCTAATCTCGCTCTACATTCTTACAGCATCTCTTTCTCGTCTTCATCCATGTCAACTGGATCTGGTCTACATGGTTTAGTCTCAGGATTGGGATCAATTTCTCCTGGCCTTAATTTTCTTGGATCATTTTCATCTAAATCTCCAGTTTTACCCTAGGCAGCATCTAATAGTCTCTCATAATGCTCAATGCATTAAGCAGGGGTTCTTCCTATGATAGGTGCAATAGTTCTCCATTGAGTAGGGAAAATCTTAGCCAAATACAAGAGTTTTTCCTCTTCCTCCCGATTCCATTCTGTCTTTTTAATTGCTGGATCTAGCCATTCATACCATCTAGCTTTGCACTCTTTTGCTGACTTTCTCACAAGTAATGATGATATTCTACTCCATTAGTTGAGGCCATATTTCATCACAGCCGCTTTAAGAATTTCATCTTCGGTGTTCTTCCATATTCCACCCTTAACCATATATCTCATCTTTAAACTAAATTTTTTAAATAATTATTACTTTATTGCATCATAATATATTAGCTAGTGGGGTTTTGGGGTTTTGGGG